TTCACACACACACACTCCACTCACTACAGAGATTGCCATTAGCACCTTGCTTACGTGCCACGCCCCCACATATTCTCCAGCCCCCCTTTTTTCCAGGTGCAAGATTTATGTGCCATGTGTTGAGGGTTTTTTTTTTTGGGTGTTTGCCTCGTGTGAGGGGTTGGGTTTTAGGGCCTGGCAATATGCTAAAAATGTGCTTTTGCATTGCAATTTTTTCCCGCTTTTCCCCCAACCGATTTTCTGTTCTGCTGCATGGCTTATGATCATATTTTCCCCGTTGCCATTTTTTTTTTCTGTTGTTGCTAAAAGCAATCAAAACTTTTTCATTTACAGACTCTGAGGGCAAAAGCAGCAAGCCAGCCGGCATTCATTTACCATCTATATATTTTTTTTAACATTTTCTCGATGCTTCAAGAGAGTCAAGGTGAAAATGGATTGACATGAACGAAGGTGGCAACTAAATCATTTTAAGTCTTAGGAAATTGATTGAAAAAATTACGAAAGAATTGCAGATAAAAGAAGGGAGGCTGGAAAAAATGCAATCTCCAAGGGCTGAACAGTGCGACCCTGCTAAAAATTTAAAGGTATTTAAGAATCGATATTTAAACCTTTGTGAGAATAAGAATCGATATTTAAACCTTTGTGAAACACAAAAATCCCAGAGACTCCCATAGTTTATCTTCAATATTTCCCGATTTTAAGTTGACAATCCACCTATCGAACAAAGACTGCTTCTTTCAATCAAAGTTGTTCAATGATTCCTCCACGACTTCCCTTTTTTTTTTGGGAAACTTGGCAACTTGTCTGGCTATCCATTCCGAATATTTCAAACCCCCCCGAACCTCGTGCCACGAAAAAATGCTTTGTTTTGTTTTTGCACTTTTGGATAGCACACTTTTTGCGATACATAAACGTGGCTGCAATTTATGCGCCCAGGCCGACGGTTGTGCAACCGCAGAGCACCACCCCCATCCTCTATAAAGGTGACCCCTCCCCGCCCTTCGCAATCCCCCTCACAATCGCCACCCTTGTAGTAAAACTGCAGCAGCAAAGCGCGGACTGCCAAACCAACTTCAAACTCGCAATATAAACACATAAATCCTGGCCACTGATACACACAGATTCCGTAGGAAGAGGAGACTACCAATATTTCCGGGGGGGTTGGTTAAGGGGGGAATTTGTCTGTCCAACTTTTGCGTACCGGCAACAAACAACAACAAAAACTTGGTTAGACGCCTCAGCTCTACGACAGTGGCGCCAATAAAATCAGCATTGCAAATAGTAACTCCTATTTAATTCTAGATTTTTTTTAGACAATGTTAACTTAAGCTTAAAATATTAAAAAAACAAAATCATTTGAAAATGATGAATAAATAGTAATGAAAAAATATTAAATAGAATATTTTTTTATAAAAAAGAGATACTTATTTATAAAAAAAAATATTCTCTTTTTTATTAATATTTTAAGTTTATTTTTCTTATGTATAAAAATACTATTTATAAGTCAAATATAAATCTCTTAATATTGGATCATTACTATTTATAAATCCTCTTTGATTCCATTCTTTTTTTTAATATTTTAAAGCTAAAAATGTGTTATTGAAATTATATAAACGATTTTGTCGCTATGCCAATGGTAAAAAAGTTATATTGTTTCTGCTGCGTTTACGTTCTCTCCCTCTTCCCTTCCCTCTTTATTTACCGAAAGTGGCCGTTCAACAAAAATATTATTGGGGCGTCGTCCCCTGCCCAATGTAAAAAAAAGTTACACCTTTTGGCCATTTTTGGCTGCAAGTTTAGAGGGGCGGAAACAAAAGTTGAATTATTGCAAACATGGGAGGGGTAAGAGGGGTGAGAAGAGAGGGACAAAAGGGGTCAAAAGGGACTGCTGCACATGCATTATGGATTCCCCGAAACGGCTGCGATGAACAGACAACAAGCTGTTTGCACTTGGAAGGCTTAAGGTCGCCGCCAGAGAAAAACAAAAAAAAGGGTAAATGCAGTTACAATTCCCCCATAGGGAAAGCGGGCAGCGAAAGGGGGGCGCACCTACACCCATGATTGAGTGCAAATAAATCCAGTTGCTAATGCTGAATGATGTATGATGAGCCCTCATGGAGTGGAGTAGCCAAGTCGATTTCAGTTCATGAAACTCCTTTGCCAAAGTTTTCAAGGGAAGTGATCACTGGGTTAAAACTCAACTTTGAGATAAATGGTTTCGTAGGAGGAAAACTTAGAGCTTGGAAAATATCGATTTTTTCACAATATTTTATCGATAATATCGATTTTTGTAAGAAATAGATTGTAAATTTGTTTATAATTAAACATCAGAAAAACATCGTTCTTTAAAGAATATCGTAAATATCGAAAATATCGAAATGTCGATAGTATATTTTTATAGCCTAAGACCAAACCCATTGTTTTTATGATGTAACCTTATTCCATTAAGGCTTTGTATTTTAGAAAAATGAAGTAATAATTGTTCAATACATCAGATCACTTAATCTCTTTCGATCGCCAATCTTTTTAAAGTAATCCGTAGGCCCAAAGATCATCAAACTCAGGGTTAATTATAAGGTCTCTCTTCCACACTCTAACTAAGCTCTCGTCTCGTCTAGTCTGCCCTGTGGCCCACTTTTGATGGCGCGACTTCCATTAGCCAGGTTTCGCCAGGGGTCAGGTTTTCCCCACTCCGTTTCCCTCCTCTATTCCCCTTTGGGAAGAGCTGCAGCCAAGAGACATAATAACTATATCGATGTGCATTTGGCGACTCGTCCACGAGAGCCCAACCAAACCGTCTGTCGGTGGCAGCACTAAATCAATGTTGGGATTGTGCATCGCTCGACGGGGGAATGGGAATGGGATTCGGTTTGGTTTGGGTTTGGGTTTCCCAAAAGGGGCAAAAGGGGCAAGGCACAAGGCACTTTTCCCGGGAGCCAGAGGCCAAAGCCGGGGGGCGAATTTCGCAATGCAACACCCAACCGAAAACCAAACGAAAATGTAATTGACGCGCTCTGCTTAGGAGGCATTGGTTGTTAGCAGTGTTGGGAAATATTCGTAGCCCATTTTGATTTAAAAATATAAAAAATTAAACAATGAATAACAAAATAAGATTGCCGTTAAACTGTATAAGTAACAAGAAAGAACAATTAAAATATGATATGATACATATACATTTTTAGTTAGAAGTGTGGGAAAGTATCCAAATAATGTTACCTAAGTTTAGGTACTTATGATAATTTAATACTAATTTTTAATCGGATTTTTATCTATACTTATATTCTATAAGAAACCCAATAAAATTGAGTTCTTAGGAGTCTTAGGAAATATTAAAATAGTATTTGTTGGTACTATTATTTTATCCCTACTAGGTACACAAAATGAGTACCAATATTTGCCAACACAGATTTTTAGGTGTAGGTGGGATTGGATATTTCATGGAGAATAACTCACCCCATCATCAGTTTAAATGTTGATTGTCGGTTTTGCGGCTTCGCTTTTTGGTCCGCCTGCAATGATGCTGCAGTATATGGCAATGTTGCAGTGTCGCTATGTTGCTATGTTGCATTGTTGCAAGGTTGCAGGTTGCAAATGGTTAAAGTGTCGCGGGTGCTGCTGGCAATTGAAAAGGTCGTGACCGGTTAAAATCCCGACCAAAAACAACAGCTGAAGCGGTAACAAGTGGGGCGTTTTGAGTTGCCTGATTGGACGACTGTGAAACCATAAAAGGCACTCTGATTTTGCAGGACGATGATGCTTACGCCGATTTTAGCTGAGAGCAATAAAAGTTATATAAGTAATTTGTAAAATAAAGAAAAATTAATATCACAAGGGGTTTTGAAATAGCTTATGAAGATGTCTAAAAGTATGCCATAAAAAAATGCATTTATCATCCGGATTCAAAATAAATTCACAGATTAATTGCATACTTCTAGTCACACTTATAGGGGATTGGAAAAAACCCTAGTGATTTTGGATAGATTAAAATATAATTATTAATATTTCGTCTTGAAGTTTTGTGCTTTGAGTTTGCTGACTGGAATACGATGCTGAGTGACGTTGCTGACGCCGATTTTAGCTGAAATCAAGAAAAGTAATATAAGTAATTTGTAACATATAGAACTATTAATAAAATAAATTTATGAAGCTGATGCAATGATTATCCGGATTAAAAATAAATATTGCAGAATGATGCTTACGCCGACTTGAACTGAAAGCAAGAAAAGTGGAATGTGTTACAAAATTATATTTTTAATTTATAAAAATAAATATCATATAGGCATTTTAAATAATTTATGAAGGTGTCTAAAAGTATGCTGTAAAAAATTCCTTTCTTACTTTTAAACACCTTATGCAATTAGACGACATCGAACTCCATCTGGATCATGGAAAAAGGGTCCTTGTTTCGGGGTCATCAGGGTGCCAGGTCATTCTGCGCTCCCCTAATTGATGGGCCTTCCAGCAGTCGAAACGGAAATAGGGAAAACAACCCTTCGATAGGAAAGGATCTCCAACCAACCATCCAGTGCCATTCCCTTTGCTTTTAGGGCTTATTTAATGCTTCAGTGCTGATGATGATGCACTGCCCCAGAACAAAAAAAAGGAGAAAAGGAAGCGGTGAAGGAGAAGTAGAAGTAGAAGTAGAAAAGGCGAGCGAGCGGAGCAAAGGGTCACGTACTTAAAAATGCACATAATTAAAATTTATGAGCTGGTATTAAATAAAGACATAACCCACGAACCGAACCTCCCCTCGATTTGCCGCCACAGGGGAGCGAATGCAGAACAATCAAATTAAATACCTGTAAAGCGAACGGAATGGAATGGCATGGGCGGGGGCCAGGTCACTGAGCAGGGGTCTTGAACCGAACCACACCGAACTGAACTCAAATGAAATGAAATTGTAATGGCAATTCGCCGGCGAAAAAAATAAAACAAAATTAAAAGGAAAAGAAAGGAAACGAAACGAAAAAGACGAGGAGGACAGAAACCTGAAACGCTGCTGTGAATAGAAAAGAAATAACTAATTTAACACTGTCACAATGGGTGTGTATAGAAAGTTTAAAGCAAGTTTTTAGGATTTATCAAACTACAAATTCTTTATAATTTTTTAAATGCTAAGCAATTATTTTTCCTTTACTTCTTTAAAGCCCCGTCTTCCTCGAAACACACTTATAATTTCAATTTTAACACTTGGGCCCACTGTACGCACTGTCATCTTGACCATCCTCTCATCTTGACTCTCAGCCACCTCCAATTTTCCAGGACATGGCTGCACGCCGCACAAGGTCAAAGTAATTACAAGTAAACAAAGTTAGGGGAACGCCAAGCCAAGGCTCTTGTTGTCCTCCGCCGCCTGTCTGTCTGTCTGTCGGAGGATGGCAAGAAAAGTACAGAAGAAAAAAAGTACAGAAGTAGCGAAGGAGAAGGAGAAGAAAAACAGTTTGACCAAGGAAAACTCTGAACCAAATGGATGTGGACGGGAAACCTTATTAAGACGTGTATTAAGTGTCGGACAGCTGACAGCCGGAAAGGAAAAAAAAAGAAAGAGCGGAGAGCAGAGGAAAGGTGAGGAAAGAGGATGTGATGGACTAAAACACCTATTTTGCGCCATGCCGAGACTGCGACTGCTCCCTGAGACTGGCCAACCATTGTTGCTCCATCAGATGCCTGCCGCGCCGCAGTTCTGTGATAGAATTAACCAATAAGCGGAGTATTCGGTGGTCCTCATCCTTCTGCAGACGATATGCCCTTGCTTGCTCGTCATTTAGAGAAATTCGTTGATGATCAGTCGTTGGCCTCTGCACCATTTCTCCGGTTGATTCGGGTACGAATAGCAATAGCAATGCCTGTCGATTAAATTCCTCCTTGATCTTTGCCTCAGTCTTCTTCTCGGGTGCCTCCTAGGTATATTTTAAATATATATACTTTTATTCACATCATTTTCCGTATACTTACCTCACTTTCCTTGACAAAGAAGCTCTTGAACCACTGCATTACGCTCTCCACCATTGAGGAGCCTTTGGGATCGCTGGTGGTCCCCTCCTTAATTTTTCTACCCAAAGTTGCATTGAATAAATCGATGAAAAAGTGTAGAAGGTATATAGTATCTCCGATTTTCCCCGCCACCAACTCGGACACATCAATGAGGGGTTGGTAACCCAACTTTTTGAGGGACCTTCGCAGCACCCGGTAATTTTGCAGCCAGCCCAACTTGTCGTATTGCAGCGCGTCCAGGTCAATGGATCCGGGACATAGAGCCTCCAGCAGGCGACACCACACGATTCCACTGCGCAGATGCTTCAGAGAATCAAAGTCGCTTCCGATCAGGGCATTCACCCAGTTTAACAGGACGCTGGGGTTTGTGGGCAGGTGTCTCGACTTCAGCGTTTGATATATTACTAGGGAGAAACAAAAACACAAGGTTTAGAATGGGGAATTATAATATATACAAAGAAGAATCGACGTGTGCCCAATGCAAGACAGCCGTGTGACCGCAGGCTAGCTTAGTATAATAATTATAATATATATAGAGTATAGATTATATATTATGCTTGTGCTTCTATCCTACCTTACTTACTTTCTTGTTTTTCCATTGTTAATTTTTTCACAGGAGTTTTTGAAACATATATTTGTGTTTACTTTATGCGATTCTATACGAACCGACTTGAAGTCGGAGGAAAAATAAAATACCAGGCCTGCTTTAAAGCAAGGTCGAAGCACTTAATGATTTAAGTTCCATCAAGGAATGAAAAATGTAAAGGACTTGCAATAAAAAGGAAAAGGCATGGAAAAATCCGTGATCAATCGAAGAGCATTTCCCATTTTCCACCCAATTTCCCCGCTGCCTGTTGTTGTTGTCGTCTGTCATAAATAACTCGAGCTTTAAGCATTATAAACCGCATCTGCATTGGGACAATTCCGTCTGAGACCCACCATTGCATTTCATTGCATTTTTAAGCCTGCGAAATCACTTAAATTTCCTACCTCCTTTTTTGGTTAATTTTTTATGGCTTTCGCTGTTCGTTGGCTCTCGGCAAAAATAAACTTGGAATAAATTTATGCATACGAGTGAGTTTTGCAGTTGCCACTGCCGCAAGTTGAGCCATTTCCATTGCCAGAGAAATGGAGAAAGAAGCGGGAGTAGGTGGCAAAACGGCAAAAAAAATAAAAAGTGAAAAAAGAAGAGGAAAACGGCAAACAATGAAATGCATTGAAAATTGAAAATCAATGAACTGTTATAATAACTTGCCGCAGAGTCAGAAGCGAGCATCCCATACATATCTATCTGCTGCACATTCCTATATACCTATATGTATATATAGATATTCATATGTGGTGCTGCAAAGGCACTGAATGCATTACCAGCCAAAGGCAGGCTTTAACCGCACAAATTGCACTGGAAAAAATCAAAAGCTTCTTAAAATAAATAGAGGACTGCAAAAAACACCGTATTTTCGATGTTTTAATAAAAATTTCTAAAAAATAGCAAAAGGCAACATTTAATTGTGATTCTCCATTGCATTTTCTGGCATTCTATCGGAAGAATCGAAAAAACCATCGATTGTTTTGCAACTCCAGGATGAAGCAAAAATGCAAGAGTGGAAGAATTGGACTGATCATCAAAAGCGTGCTATCAAAAATATCGATTAACTATCGATTGATTCGTAGCTCTACTTTAAACCCAAAATTCAATATTTTTTTAAAGCTCCCTCTATTTTCGCTCTCTGTAAAACATCCTTCCCTTGAAAACCCCGTGGACTTCAGGTCCTGCGCTCGAGCAACTCGTGCGTGCGGTTCGGTTCTCTCTCTTCATTAAACATATGTAACGCGCTGGGTTAACAATTGGTGAGGAAGGCAGTAGGTGGAAGGATGTGGATGTGGATGAGGACGACCAGGAGCAGGAGGAGTTGGAGGAGGATCTGGGACAACGTCAACTTCGAGTCGGATGCAGCGATTAAAAATTAAATGCCTTCGTATTAACAAACAAGCCGTCTGCCATTGCCGACATTCGTCGTTTCCCTTTTTTTTTGTTTTTCGGGGCAGGAACCAAAAACCAAAAAAAAAAAGGGGAGAAAACAAAAATGAAAATGTGGAAAAAAACTGAGCAGCCACACGACGGACAATGGATGGGCGGTGGGCGATGGAGTTGGAAAATCATTCTGCGACGCAAAAGTGGAGCTGGGAAATCCTTTGGTGCATGTAAAATGCATGAATCGCTGGGCGCCACGTGTGAAATTTATGCACATATGCTGACAGCATTTAAGGGGAAGGACGACAGGGCAGGGCGAGCAGCTTGAGTGGTTCTTCCACCTACGCAGCTTCTCGGTTTCGTTTGCTTTCTTTTGGTTTTTGAACCGAAGTTCTGGCCAAGATTTTTCTACTCAAGTATGTGCATTTTTTGTCTTTTTTTTTGACCATTTCGTTTTTTATTTAAATGGTAAAAAAAGGTTTACATACGTTGATATGTTTCGCTGCCTTAAAGAGCAACCTATTTATTTTTTTCAAACTAGCGCCACCTATTGGGCAAAACTTTGATTGCTCATGACTTTTAAATTGATTCTAACTTTTAAACGAATAATCCGATTTAAAAAAATGTTTCTGTGATATTAATAAGCAAAACAAGATCATGTTTACACTTTTACAAAAACTTTAAAAATGTGGATGTAATAATATTCCAGTTTAACTCGCACTTTGACGATGTTTTAAGGCTTGTCATTTACTTTTTTGCCAAGACTTTAGTCAAGATTCTCACTCCAGCAATTAATTAGCCATCCGTCATCCGATCACCCTGACACCCAAAGGGCCATCGAACGATGACTGGACTTTCTGGTTCTCATTAGTTCGATCCTCCACATCCACGTCCACATCCACACAAACTACGAGACTCATTGACAGCCTCGATTCACAGTTGGTGGAACGCAAACAAACAGCCACAAAAGCCAAATAATAATGAATAATTAAGCAGTCGAGGACAGATGACTATGTGGGTCAATAGAAAATGTGGCCAGCATTCAGCATTTTCCCTGTCCATCGTCCGTCTGTTTTGCTTTTTGCTTTTTTCGAGCCACTTTGAGGATGGATGGATAGATGGATGTTGTCATCATCGTTTCCACTTAACAAGCATTTCATTAGCCTAATTCCGATGGCTCCTCGTATCTTGATTGTTTGGACAGTGGAGCACAAGGAGCTGTATTCAGTATTCCGTATTCCCTGAATCCCTGAATCCCCATTTTCCATCCCCACACTGATTGATGTTTGCTGTCGCACGCGGCGTATAGGCGATATTAGTGTATCCTCTTTGGTGTGGGGCCGCAAATGAGATAAATGCAATTTGGACATAATTTATGCGTTGATTGAAAGTGGAAAGGGCAGAAGATATTGAATTTTCCTTGTCATAAGAGGTGAATAATATTTTATATTATACATATTTTCAGTTGTCCTTTTAGTTTTCCATCCACTTAACTTTTATGGTGATTTCGCAATTGAAAATTGTTAGTCAATCGAGAAGTGGTAACCAGTGAGACCCGATTGCCGATTGCCTCAACTCTCACTGGGGACTTTTGGCTTTTCATCTGGCTCAATTAGCGGTAGCGATTTGCCCATCCAACAGTCGTCGGCTAATTGGCTTCTCTCGATTGGGTGTACTCGATATTGCCTTATAGTAATACTCTTTCACTTGTTTGAATGGATAACTCTCAGTCGAGTTTGAAAAATATCGATATTTTGACAAAATCGATGTTTTCAAGGAAACACTCAAATAAAATATAGGAAAATTTTATCAAGCTCTAACTCTCAAGTGCATTTATACATTCAAGTACAGCTTACATTTTAAGTTCTTTAAATGTCGAGAATATTACACTTGATTTTTTTGGGTGACTTTTATAGATTAGTCTAGATTAAAGAGCTTAAAAATGATCTAAAAATAATTTCTATAAATATATGCAAGGGCACTTAAAACTTCGGCTTGTCGGAAACGCGTTTCTTTTCTCCCTATTGCCAATTGCAATCGTTTGAATCAATCACGAACGATTGCCTGGAATCAGGTTTAGAAGTGGGCGGTGGTGGTTTTACCTCCTAGCACCTGAGCACCTGAAATCCCAGGTGGGAAAGCTGCCTCCGGAGGATTCTTTGCATTCTGCTTTGCATTTCCTGTGGCAATGTCTGCGGTCAGCTGCTGTCCCTCCTGCATACAAATGTCCTTCTTCCTTTCAGTCCCCCTCTTCTTTTTCCGGCTGCTGCAGCTGGCTCGTTTCCTTGTTCGCGCAAATAAAATGCAAACAGTGCTTGTTTCATTTGCGTAATAAAATATTTATACAGGTATTTAGTTGGCCACGAAGCAGCAGCGAAAAATTAAGCCAGGCACCGCGAAAAAAAAGGTTGGAAAAATAAAAGGCAAAGAGAGGTGAAAATGGGGGAGCAGTTGGCTCCCAAAAATTTAAGCCAGGTTCCTTTAATGAGCCCCCACGCAAAAAAAAAACATGAAAAACAATAGAGAAAGGAGAACAAAAAACGTCTAGACGTCATTTCTCAGTGGGGTTCTCCACTGGGTTCTCCTTTTCTCCAACCCAACATGTTAGATAAATCTGCTCGCGTATTTTTCGCAGCGATTTGCCATAGCTCATACAGAGAGATAGATGGAGAAACAAAGAGAAACTGAGAGACTGGGAGAAAGAGAGCCAGAGAAATTGCCTTCATTTATCATGTGGTGGGGCAGCTAACCGCATACCCTGTAAAATCGAACAGGAAGCAGGGAGGTATGCTAGAAACAATATTAGGAAGAGAGAACCGAATGTTAAAATAGTGTACTGTGTGTGTGGCGGCAAAGAATGGGCAGATCTGCCTTAGTTTTGGAGGGCTAGAATTCAGGATAAAATCCTACAGAATACTGGAACTGTAGTGACAGAGATTGGGCATAGCTATCTTCTATTTAATGGTCTATAACTCGGAATAAAAATTAATGGGTATCCCCAAGTCGACTTCCTGCCATCTGGCAGCAAAGACAATTGGCAGCTGACACTCTGTGGTTGATTGGCTGCGGCTGACCACAGAAATTTGTGCACTGGCACTCCAAACGGAACTTGTGCGACACGACACACATTTGCTATTATTTACCATTAGTTATTTGCAGGATACGTACATACATATTTAAGTTTGGGTGGGATCGCCTTTCGAGTTCAAGTGTGAAGCCTAAAAAATTAATCAAAATGCCAGAGTGGCCCATTAACTAGATATGAAAGTTTAATGAAATTTAAGAGCAAAGTTTTCCGAAATGAAATATTCATTGAGCCCCAAGTATTTCGAGAGAACATAATCCGCTTTAATTCAATTTCATCAAGTATAATTTATTGTAAATCGTTTGTAAGCTGTGCATCAATTAACTTGATTTTATTTATGTATTGTCTACGTTAAGCCATAACTTTTGTTTCACTTAATCCTTTTGAAACTTTAATTTTAATTAATAACCCTATTTAAAGTATAATTTTCCTGATATTCGTAGGCCATTTACCTATTATTATCACTAGACAACGGGTTATATGCAAAACAGATAAAATTCTGAATTTTCAAGAAAAATGTATCCTTTATTAGAGATTTTCAAGAACAATTTATCCTTAATAAGAGATCGCTATAAATCGAATACGTTAAGAATACGTTTTTGCATATAAT